CCCAGGCAGATTTGCATCAAAAACAGTAGCAAAAGCTTTCAAAAGTGTGGGCAAATCGGGAATGCGGTCCACCTTTTTGACATTTCGTAGTATTTCCGGCATGTGTTTCAACCAATTCCTCCCAAGCAGGTTCGGGCCGTCGGTGTTAAGCACGATTAAGGGAAGAGTCAAGGTATCGCTTCCATGATTTACCTACACATCACACACACCCAATACATCGAGCGCTTCTCCCGTGTAAGAACGTAACGTAAACTGAGTCAGTGTCAGAATCAGCTCAGGTGATCAAGGTGACTGATGCCCTGGTGTCGATTTCCAAGCGCACTGGCCGGCCCTCTATGATTACCTCTAAAATATATGGGGGTATGCCCATGATAAGATGTGGCAGTGAGTGATATTAAATACGATATGGACTCGTCAGAATTTTCCACAGAACGAACAGTATTTTGTGCAGGGCGGGGTACCGATCGCTGGTAAACCGTCGAATAGGATACGCGTGCAAGATGTCCAACTTTGCCGCATTTGTGACAGATAGATTGCTTGTGTTTACAGTCAGTAGCGTTTTCATGTCTTTCACTGCATCGGTAGCAAGTAAAAGAACGTTTAACGGTTAGCTGAGGATGCGATTTAACAGCGGGAACTGCGTCGGGAAGAGAAGCGTTCTCATAGTCAACCAACTGTTGCACCAAGTTTTCGCGTTGTCTGACCAGCGCACATGCTTCCTCCTCGTCTTCCAAAAGTAGCCATTCCTTGGCTTTATCGTCCCAAATACCAACCAATAGACACTGGATAGCTATGTTCTCTCCAAACTTCGTGGGGGTAATTTCAGTATAACGGCAGTCTGGAAGGGATTGTTGTATATGGCTGATGAGTTCATTAACATCTTCCTCGCGCAATCGTAACGGAAAAACTCAGGCGTGCCGTGAAGACATGCTGCCGCGGCCCTCAAGGGAAATCGAGTGCATTAAGACTGTCGGACAAAGATGTGTTTTGGGACAAACGCAGTGCATCAAAATGCCTTTGACCTTCTGCACTAAAATGTTGCCTCAGGAATTTGACAGACTGAGCTTCGGTGAGGATTTGTTACTGAGAATAGTTCAAGGTAATCGCAGAAGGTTCTCTTCCAGCGAATACAATGCGCTAAAGTTGGCTTACAAGATGCATCCTTCCAAAAAGGGTTAAGGTGGAGTGAGCTGGCTCACAGCAAAGGTATCCAAAGTTGATCTCTGTCGCCAGTGTTACAACTCTGCACGTACTGAACCAAGACACTTAGTGGTACATAGTATTCGGCCTGTAGCACACGAAAGTAGAACAAGTCAGTTGCAGCAATACAAAGAATGTATTGTGTCGTCACAAAGACGACGATTCGCATAAATTCAGACAGTCTAATCAATGGTTAGCTGGTATTAACGGACCCACAGACTGAGTGTGGTGGATCCAACCAATAGGGACAATTTAATCGATGACTGGCTAGCGTTGGACTGAAACAGCGCAGATGCCACATTCGTCAATAGCGAAGTTGAAGAGGAAAGGTGACAGCAGGCATCCTTGCCTTACACCGCCGGAGATATTGAAGGGGAGCGACAGCTTGCCGTAAGCCCTCACTCTGCCCGAGCTACGCGCGTAAAGCCCTCACATATACTTACATACCTCTTGGGCACACCTATGCTTGGCAGATAGTCCGAAAAGATACGTCAATCCTCCGAATGGAAGGCACCTTTGGTCTCGAGGAACACGGCAACGGCGGGCCGCCAATATATGTGACAGTGCTCCAGCAATTGACGTAGTGTGAATGTGATCGAGGAATTCCCGGTCACGATGAAACCCGGCTTGCTCCTCACGAATCTGGGAGGTTAACCTCCCTTGATTGACTCATTTTCCCAGACTTATCTAAACTAGAAACAATGCATAGTTCATTTTTGCTGATATCGTTGATCTTTACTCTGGGAAACTTGTTCTGTTACGCTGTGTCCGCTGATTGTTCCCTTTGAGATACATCATCAGTCGTTCTCTCCATATTTTCAGTCGTTGCACTTTTGACCTTCCAGTCAACACTTCTGCTAGTTGGGCGACTGTTAATCGTCCGTTTGTCCCGGAATTATACTTCCTGCTTGTAAGTCTGGCTTTTTACCTTGGACTTCTGGAGCCGTTGCGAAGCGTGTGATTTGATTGATTACCTGAACCGATTCCAATACATAATACAGGTGCAGGGAGCGCTAAAAGTAGGCAAGTGTCCAGGTGTCGGGAAAAAAGCAGGCACACTTCTAAGTCTCGACCTTGAGGTAACACGGAAATATGCGCATCATCATCATCATCAACAACAACAACAAAAGCGGTACGTCAGCCAATTGAACTGATGTTCCGCTGCAGGCTTGCAGCCTAAAGGTAACAAGCTTATCTTGTAAACTGACGGCGCGGGTTCGAGCCTACGTAGGAGCAGGGCGGCTTTCGCAGTAGCCTTAGCCCACGTGCGAATGATGGTGATTGCACGGCAGCGAAGCGTCAGTACTGCGTACCGGCGTACTGTTGATGCCTTTCGCTGCCTTACAACCACAGCGACCTAAGGAAGGACGAATGGGCGGGATAGAAGAGGGGACCTTGGCGTAAAAGGTTAAACCCTGAGTTCACTTGTTTGCCGAGCTTCGTAAGTGGGGTGCAAAGGTTTCATCACCAAACTAGGTGACTTCGTCAGAGCGCAATGACGAAGTCAACGACATACCGTAATAAACAGTCAGCTTTTATGTAAAGATAAGGCGACGTCAGTTGAGACCGCTTCTTCGCGGCTTTTGCTACCCCGCATCATAATTAGCTATCATCACGCGAATAACAGCACCAAACACATTTTAAACAGGCAGACCAAGTAGAAGGTGAGAACAGAAGTGCTAATAATGCTAACTGCGAGCCATATTCTGCAACCTCTCTATCCAAGCCTAAGACGGATCGTGTGGATTCCAGCAGGGAAGGCGAGACGCACCAATCGCCGCCAAGTTAGTAATCAGTGACTTTATTTTCCGGTGCCAAGTGAAGTTTTTCCCACCTCAAATCTTGAGCCATCCAACACCCAACAAAAAAACAAGGCTATCTTCAGTAAGCGGTGACCAGGCATACGTAGTACGTGACCAAGCCAACGCAACTCATTCCATGTCATCTGTTATAGGAAACTAGCCTGATTATCACAGCCTAACGCTCGCCTACCCGCACCATAGTTGCGAATATGCCGCTGCTATTCGACACCAGTAATGCTGCAGTGGTAGCGATGATCAAAGACCTCAAGAGGTCTCGGATCATCAGACCGAAGGCGCCAAGTCGGCGCCAAGTAGGACGGCTCTCACTGTGGTCTTGTGCACAATCCTTCAGACCGAGGTAAACACCACACCGACGCCACAGATGTCGCGGACTGAAGAAGGCTGTTCTAGGTTTTGTAAAACGTGAAATGACACCAGTGGTAATGCCCCCGTCACTGCTGATGCAGTTGGCAAGTGAACTGATCAACTACCTCGAGTACATCGCTATCAAGGGGCCATCAAGTGGCTGGTTGTCCTGCAATGTGAAGATGCGAAGTGTATACCAAATGATGGGAACATTATAGAGGTTGTTTCAAGGCTGACTGAGCCACTCACAACATCGTTAAGCAGCAAGACAATATCGTCCGCATAATCAAGACTAATAAATTTTCCGCAAGACAGCAATTGATCGCCAGCATCGTGAGATTCCGCAAGGGAAAATTCGATGGTGGAGTCCACGACGGGGTTAATCAAAATAGGGAAGTTGAGCAACTCGAATAAAGCCATAAGTAGATGAAAACTAGCAGATGTTAACACTTCGTATTGTTTCTTCAGTGCCAACACAATAACATGAAAGCATATAAGACGACAGTTAGGGTGTCACGCCTGTCCTGCGCCCTGTTCTAACTTTTCTGATCTAACCCTACCTGTCGTCGTACATAGTCTAATTGTATTGTTTTCCTTGATAGCTCGAATGTCCACCGAGTGACCGAGTTCGGTACAGTTGTTAAAAGTGTCAAGTGTCTTGTATTTTCCACATACTGATTTCAATCCGGAAGCGGACGGAAATCGGACAGTCGACTGTTCGATGGTGTTATCAGGGTTGGCACTGAAGAGGGATTAGGAAATGTTAACATCTGCTAGTTTTCGTCTTATTATGGCTTTAGTCAAATTACTAAAGGGATCTAATTGTTCCAAATTGAGCAACCCTGACGAACGCCACTTATGGTCGGAAGACAAGTGACTAGTCACCGTAGACCATGAGGCCGCCTGTGGTATTCGAGCACAGGGCATGTAAAATGCTCACATATTTTGTAGGAACATCTTCCAGTGCAAGCAATTCGAACATATTAGACCAATCGACTGAGTCGAACGCACTCTTGAAGTCGAAGAACACAGCTACTATTGGCGGTCTGCGGCACGTTTAGCGGTGTTTTAGCACCTGCAGCAGAGTAAATTCATGTTCTATACAGCCCATCCTGGGCAGAAACCTGCTTGCTCTTCCCTATTCTGGGATTCCGGTTCCGCAGTGAGGCGACGAATGAGAAGTAAGCTTAGTAATTTTGCCACCATAGGCGTTAGTTAAATACCCTTGTGGTGCGACTGCTATTCTTGTATTTTGCCACTATGATTTACTTCAATTAGTTGGAATGGTCTTTTCCTTTCAAAGTTGTTCGGGCAGGGATGTGTGCTTTGCAGATGACCTGACTGCCATCCTTAAATACTGCAGGTGCGAGGGAACTCGGGTCAGCAGCAAGAAAACGTTTAATATCAAATTCAAGTTCAAGATGCTAAATCCGATCACAACGAGCAGACAGCTGCGAAGGAATCACTGTAAAAGCTGCAAGTACCACACATTTTTTCCTTGTGGGGCACCTGCAAAACAGCTTGACCATTTAAGGAAACAGTCCTATTTACAAAAGCCCTACCGAAGATGCTAAAAACAGACAGTGAACGTTATCAGCTACATACACACGACAAAAGTTCTTGGGAACCTACTTGGTCAACTTTTTTCTTAAGGATCTCAACTTCCTTTGCACTTGAGAAGGTTACATCTAGGCCTGGCGACAACGAGAAAATAAACAGGACGCCAGCCTCAGTAGATTCGTTTATTAAACTCTGAAGTTGTTCTTCTTCAGCCGGGGTATATAAATCACGCCAGGACTGTCGATGCTTTACATCATCCTTTGGAGCGTACAGGTAAGCGTTCATCCCCATGTGGTTCATTCTAAAAAAAGAAATATCAAATGATGGGTTACCTCCGAAAAAGTTCTTTGCGCTGGGGGTATGTCCATGGTCGACCGTAAAACCCTGGCGTAGGTAAACCTAGAATATAAAGATACTTACCCTCCACAACACCCGTAAGGAATTCAGTCTCAGCTTGAAGATTGCCGGCCATGAAACACACGCTCGGTTGGTTATGACGGCGACGGAAAACCTTGGAACGTCGAAATACGCCAGCAAATTTCACCTGTGCTGAAAACTATATGAATGCGGTCTTTAAAATGTAGAAAACGCGCAGCACTACTTAAACTAGGACGAGGGGTAGTATGCGTCCGGTCGAGGATTCCGAGGGCTTCCGTGTCCGATATCCACGTAGGTCGTAATAGACCTGGAGAGCTCCAATGCAAACTAATACCTCGTAGGCGGCTGGATGCTTATATCACAAGCACACTAAATAAAAAAGTGGAGGCAAAGAGAAAAGGAAGCAATAATGACCGTTTAACCGAGGTACAACGATCACATTAGGGATCAGTAAAAGTTCACGCCCAGAACTACTACATTACTCCCCTGTTGACAGGCGCTATCCTCAGCGCCTATGGAGGCATCTGTCGGCCTCAACCTGCTGATGTGAAGAACAACTGATGAATGCGGTGTGCTCGGTTCGAGAGATCTCGCGACAAGCAGTGTGGTCACCCGAAAGTGAATGATCGTCCCAAGGGCAACGATCCAGCTTCAGGGACTGCTGTCGGGAAATGACAGGATCGCAAAATATGTAGTATGCATCCGTTCGAGGATTCCAAGGGCTTCTGTTTCCGATGTGTATGTAGGTCGTAATACATCCGGGAATCTGCATTGCAAAACAAAATCCTCCTAGATGGACGGGTGTTCATATCACAACCACCTAGCAAGAGACCACACTAAACGAAACATGAAGGCAAAAAGGAAGCATCAATGACCGTTTAACCGAAGTACAATGATCTCAGGCATCAGCAGTACGCCGGTACGCAGTACCGACGCTTCGCTGCCGCGCAACCACCATCAGTCGCAAGTGGGATACTGCGAGGGTCGTCCTGCCCTTACGCAGGATTGAACCCACGTCGTCAGAGTACAAGACAAGCTTGTTTCCTTTAGGCTGCGGGCTGGAAACGACCTCCTTACTTTATGTATCACTACAAACACGCTCGGACCTGCTACAAGAGGGTAGGGAGTGGGCCGGATTGAAAATTATTTGAAGATGGGTAGGATGTTCATTGAGTGGTAGAGAGCATAAGGAAGGTCCCGTGTCAGCTCCTCTTCCCGGTCTACCAATGATTGTAGGTGTGATTGTTGCGGCATCGCTCAGGATGCGGAAGTATCAACCCTGCAGGACTCTGGAGTAGTCAGTAGGTAGATGTCTAACAAACATTTGAAGCTCGGTTCTGACTGCGCAGTAACAATCGGATCCGGCAGTCAATTCTAATCATTAACTACCATCATCATCATCATTACACGTTAGCTGGAGGTGGAAAACACCTCAGGTATTGTGCCGCAATACAAAAGACAAGAAAAGGAAAACAAACGGTGGCACGCCCGCTGAGTCCCCAGTAACGGATGGACATCGTTCCGGAGAGCTAACAGCTGGCTGCCGTAAAAAGAGAATCATATTATGCTTAACAGGTGAGATCGTGATTGGAGGGGGATACTAAACAGGAGGGGGGATGGGCAAAGGAAATCACAACACAAACGCCATTGGTGCCGGCTCCTAGCCATATCAGCAAGTGTGTCCAAGCAAACGTGTTCACCGTCCTTAGGACCCCAGCCAGGCAGTCGGGATGCACCAACCGACGCCAACTTCGAAGTGAGGGTTTTCATTTCTCTCGACCAAGTCATCACTTGGCCTCCCCTCCTCATCTTCCAACCGCGCCCACAACGCACGTCGCGGGAGTCGGTGTGCTGGCATGCGCAACACGTGGCCCAGCCATCGGAGCCTGGTGCGTGATATAATGGTGCTGAGCGGTTCACTCGCTCTTCCTGCACCAAATACGCGACGTCGAACACGCTCATTGCTCACACGGTGCTCCCACCAGACATGAGCTAAGCTGCGAAGGCAGCGATGATCGAATGTGACGAGTCTCTTCATGTCAGTCGACCTGATGGGTCAGGTTTCACAACCATATAAGAGAGTAGAACGGACGGCTGCGTTGTAAACTCTGTCCTTCAGGGCGAGAGTAATGTCGTGTCTACGCCACAGGTGGCGGAGATTGGCAAAAGCACCTCGAGCTTTTGCTATGCGGTTCGTAACCTCATCTTCAATCCCACTGGTGCTAGTATAGCTGCCCAGGTACTTAAATTCCTGAACGACTTCTAGCAGATCACCACCAAGCGTTAGCGCAGGGTTGGGTCCCTGCCAATCTTGGAGAAGTACTTTGCATTTCGATGGAGCAAAGCATAGCCCAAAACGATTGACAGCCAGTGCTAATCGGTCCAGTGCTCTTTGGCATGTTTGGAGGCTGTCACAGATTAGGGCAATATCGTCCGCATACTCCAAGTCAAGAAGTCGCTCATCAGGAAGTAGCTCCACACCATCTAGGTCGTGTCCAGCGAACGAGTAGAGAGAGCAACGTCTGAACGGATGTTGAACTTCCTCGGTTTACAAAGCTTCCAGCTGTGACTTCGAGTCGAATTGCCAAGTCGTAGTTGTAAAAAACTGTCTCAACTCGCTTCCCAATTCTCCTCGACGCCGGCGATAATCGAAGGGGAAAGGGTTCATCCTTTTGAGTCGGGTGGGATAGGAGAGTTCGCGTAGCCCAAGGACAAATTCCGAGCCTTGCCACCGAAGTTTGCCATCTGGTCACTTTCATGCTTCCATAGTGGGGCTATGGCTGGAAGTCAGAATTCAAGGATGGGACGGATATGGGAGATGAAGAGTATTTGCGGTGTCATTCTAGAGAATGATTTCTTTATGACATTTCACATCCTGTTCGCCGCTGCAGTTTTCTTTAACGTATGGCAATTAGTTTTGAAAGCAGAGGATACTATTGACCCCAGGTCCTTTCCCTGAGGGGCAGTCTTGAGCAAGAACCATCCAATGTGACAAGTGCCCAGTAGTTCCGTAGCACCGATGGGAAAGTGCTAAAGGCTTGGCGCAGTTTCGATATGGTGGCATTGGTGGTGGTGTTATCCATGAGAAATACTTCTGGCCACTTGCTGTATGAGTCGACTATAATGAGGAAACTTCTCCCGTTGATCGGCCCTGCAAAGTCGACATGAATGCGGCACCACGGCTTAGTAACTATTGGCCATGAACAGAGTTCTGCTTTCGCTCATGGCCTAAACCAACTAAACCTTGGAGTCGTGTTCATGTAGACTTTGCAGGCCCAATCAATGGCCAGAACTTTCTCATATTGGTCGACGCTTATAGCAAGTGGCCCGAAGTGTTCCTCATGAGAAGCACGAAAACCAGCGCAACCGTCTCTAGGTTGCGACAAATCTTCAGCAGGTTCGGCTGCCCTGAAACATTGGTGACGGACAATGGAGCACAGTTTACTTCGGCCACATTCATGGAATTCTGCCAACGTTGCGCCATCAAACACGTGCGGTCTCCACCATTCCACCCACAATCAAATGGCCAAGCAGAGAGGTTTGTGGATACATTCAAACGCGCTCTCCTCAAATCAAGGAGGGAGGGAGACATAGAGGAGGTGATTGACCGCTTCCTATTTCTGTACCGATCTACACAAAATCCACAAACGCCGGGTGGAATATCACCAGCAGAGGCAATGATGCACAGAAAACTTCGCATGCCATATGATGCAGTTCGGCCATCCTCAGAGTCCATAGCTGGTGAAAGGAACCTAAAGATGGAACGTGATTTTAATCGGCGGTTTGGTGCCAAGCAACGTTCGTTTACACCGGGTCAGCCAGTACTTGTGCGTGATTATCGGGGTGGACACGCAAAATGGACGCCAGGAACGATCCAGTGCAAGCGCGGAAGCGTCATTTACGACGTGCTGGTTGGAACGCAGGTATGGGTACGTCATGCAATCCAACTGCGAACAACAATGTGCCAGCCACAAGCAATAGAATCCGCCAAGCTTCCATTTGACCTGTTGACAGACAGCTTCAACTTGCCTACAGAGCCAGTAGAACAACCTTGTCATCAGACAAATAATACCAGACCGCAGAGTACGGAATTTGAATCCAGAACACTACAGCCAAGGCGATGCACCGGTAGGCGAAGAATCCCTTCCAGGAGGCTCCAGCTTAATCCCCGGCTAGTTTCATACACAACGGCAACAGCTTCAGGAGGGAAGGTATCCGGGAATCAGATAAAAACATAAAAGAAAAAAGGGAAAGTGTATAATGGTGACTGAAAGCTGGGCTAAAGAGAATCGCCTACCCCGTGCGGTCGATCAGGCAATCGATCGAGCGGACCAGTGCGTTTTCAAACACCCGGCTAATTGGACTTTTGCCTCAGAGTTGAGAGTACAGTGTTCGTTGGCTGCGATTAATACGTTATTTGTCAGGGTCATTGGCGTTCTGCTTTTTCCTTCGGTTGGGCTAGAAGTTTTGCGGAGCAGTGAATTGTTATTTTTGGAGTTGCGTCTAGTGAGAAGATTATAACAGAAAGACAGAGCGCTTATCATTGTTGACCGGTAAACCTCACTTGATAGACCAGGCGTGCAGTAGATTTCGCGTTTCCTGTAATCGGTCGGTGTTTCCGAAGGGCCACAACGATCGCAAAATCCTTGCTCACCAATCAAATATAAGTCCAGTAATCTTTTGAAAGATCCGTCGGATTGAACACTAACGACCAGCTCAGGTAAGCTGTTCCAGACGTTCACCACATGGGTGGACAAGGTGACATCAAGGCGTTCGCGGAGCCTCCGCGGTTTAAATCGTTTCTACTGGTGAGTACGAGTAGAACAATCGGCGTAGAGCTGAGAGAACTCCTGTAGCTGACTGCCCATCAGTTCTCCTAAGATAGGTCTGACGTAAATCTGGTCACCACGATGATGGTGGTAATCCATGGGAAAAGGTTCATCTAGTAGAGCCGATGTGAGTAAGGAGGATTCCGGAGCACGGGGATGGACTTCGATGCACGCCGTTGAAGTTTCTCAATCAGGACGTACTCAGCCTTTGTAAGAGGGTAAGCCACTGGTTCAAGGATTGGGCGCACATGGGATGCAAACAGCGGTCTGAAAATTGCTGGCGTCATTTTAGAAAACGATCTCCTTATGGCATAGAACATCCTATCGGCAACCGCGACCTTCTTCAAGGTGTCTTGGGCTGTGCTTATATCCGGAGATATTGGTACGCCGAAGTCCATCTCACAGGCGGTGTTCTTAAGCAGGAAACCGCAAAGGTGATAGGCGTCAAGTGGAGCAGAGGTGAAGATAGGGAGTACAGAACACTTTTCGCGATTTATGGGTAACGATCACTTCACTGACCAGCAGTGTAGCAGATCTATG